CGTACTCATATTTGTCTCCTTCTAGAGACTGGCATATAACCCTGGCCCCACAGCCGTTAGCTGTTGAGCTGCCGTCTACAAATACTTTCCAGATGTCTGGATTTTCCGATGGTGAAGCATCCGACCGGGTAAGCTCAACTATAAATTCGGCAAAGTCCTGACCTTTTACTGCTGTCCTTAGCTCAAATGAGATTTCAAACCCACGTAGCTCTATGGCCCATTTGAGCATACGGCCTATTGAATCCATAGTGGTCAAAGGCCTCTTCAATGGTTGGTCAGTATAGACCACCAAAGGATGTGCCAAGAATTAAGGGTCTTAGTTTTTTTTGAAGCCATGTACAATGCTAGGCCAAACTTCTCAACCATGGGGTATCTCAACTCAGCATTACGGAGGATGTGACTGACAAAGTATACCGACATCTACTTACCGTCTCTTTCAGCCAAGAGGACGGCGCTAAGTGAGTGATCAGACGCGGCCAAGTACATGTACACTCTCCAGGCAAAGGACTCACCAGCTTGGGCAGGGCATGCAGGTGTTCTTTGAGCCGGCAAAAGGATGTCTCCGCCTCCTCACTCCATTCGAATTGTTCCTTTTTCCGTATGGCTTGGAAAAAATACAAGCACTTGTCTCCAGCTCTGCTGAGGAAACGGCGCAGGGCTTCCAAAAAACCGGTGAGACGTTGAACTTCTTTGACCGACTTGGGGGATTTCATGTCAAGGACGGTTTGAATTTTTTCAGGATTGGCCTCTATCCCCCTTTGATCAATTAAGAAGCCGAGAAATTCGCCAGACTGAACTCCAAAGACACACTTTTTAGGATTCAGCATGACCTTGTGCCGCCTGAGTGTGGCAAACGTTTCTCGGAGGTCGGTTAGATGATCCGGCTGTAACTTGGACTTGACGATCATGTCGTCAATGTAGGCTTCTATATTCCTGCCCAATTGTCCCTCAAAGACGGTATTAACCAGCTGTTGGAATGTGGCCGACGCATTTTTCAACCCAAACGACATGACAGTATAGCGATACAGCCCCTGCTCCGTGATGAAGGTCGTTTTCTCTTGGTCGTCTTTGTGTAGAGGGATCTGATGAAAGCATGAATAGGCATCCATGAAACTCATCATGGCATGCCCCGCAGTCGAGTTGACTAGCCGGTCAATCTTTGGCAGTGGGAAGCTATCTTTTGGGCATGCCTTATTGAGGTCCGTATAGTCTACGCACATGCGCCACGTTCCATGCGGCTTTTTAACCAACACAACGTTGGCCACCCATTCTGGATAAAAGCATTGCCGAATTAAGCCGGTGTCCAAGAGTTTCCGGACCTCGGCGGCTGCAGCCAGATTTCTTTCCTCCCCATGATTCCTCTTCTTTTGCCGAACTGGTCGCCTATTAGGATCAAATTAACAACTTGTGGACGGCTAAGGCCGGGTCTACGCCCGGCATCTCTTCAACTTCAAAGGTAATATATCCTTGAATTCTCTGAGGAGGTCATACAGGGCAGAGCCAAATTTTTCAGCGGTTGTTGTCCCCACTTTAACTGTTCAATCCGGGCGAGTGAGGTCCAAGACTACCTCCAGATGCTCGCCGACTGCTTGGGGACGGAGCTCTTCCGGCTGGTCGGCAGTCTGTGACTGCTATTTGGCCTTCTTGGAAGGCTCCGCCTTGTCGGCCGCGCCTTCCTTTTGTGCTACCCAGGAGGCACCTCTTCATTAGGGAGCTGATGTCCCTTATCAGGATTGGCTAAGGACGTGTCCTTGATTGTCGTGACATAGCAAACCCTAGCCATCTTTTGGTCTCCATAGAGAGACCCAATAGTGCCGTCATCACACTCAAATTTCATGAGCATGAGGGACGGTACTAATACTGCCTCGGCAGTATTCAAAGTCAGACGACCTAGGATGATGTTAGGTCATCAGATCATTCACTACCAGGCCAGAAAACGGATGACCATGTTCTTGGGGCGACTCTTATCCCCCAGCCGAACTGGTAAATCAATCCGGCCTATTGGATAAATGACTCCACCCCCAAAGCCGACTAGAGGGTGAGAGACTTCTTGTAATATCTCCTGCTTGAACTTGAGGTTTTTTAAGCAAGACCAACTAATGATGTTCGAGGAGCTCCTGGTATCAATAAGGATCCGCCTAACCTTAAGGTTGGCGACCTTAAGCTCGACAACCATAGGGTCGTCATGTGGTGTTCGGACGTCGGATCTGTCGGACTCAGCTATCACCGCTTCAGGAAATGGCTCTTTCGAAGAAAAACCAACCAGCATAACCTGCTTGAGGCTACGCGCATGACACTTTGCCCCAGTAACAGTAGGGCCCCCAGATGCGTATCCGCCGGCTATGACGGATACATACCCGAAGTCAGAATCATTGCCGTCATCAAGGGCCGGCTCCTTGTCCTTCCTCTTCTTCATATGAAGAGTGGTAGAGGATTTTAGGACGTAGGAGTCTAGAAGGCCTTGGGCGACCAATTTGTCCAACAATTTCTTCAGGCTGAAGCAATGGTTGGTGTCATGACCAACATCCTTGTGAAAGTGACAATACTCCTTACTGTCACGGAACTTGGCCGGTCCCTTCATGGGGGTCGGCTTGTCAAAATTGATTCGATCCTTGATCTCCATCAGGATCGAATAGCAATCAGTGTTGAACCCTAAACCCTAAACCCTGAACCCTGAACCCTGAAACCCTAAACCCTGAACCCTGAACCCTAATCCCTAAACCCTAAAACCTAAAACCCATCCCCCAACTCTTCCCAACTCTTCCACTATATTCCACTATGACGTTAAAAATAGAAAATCAAGAGTAATAATTTTAATAGAATTTTTGAAAAAATCGATCACAATATTAATTTATCATACGAGTGTTGCACTCGTCTGTTCGGATGGGAGCGAAAGAAAGGTAATGTTTGGTTTGACTCTATATCTGCGTGGTCAAATGTTCGGGCTATGGGTTAATAACAATTTGGGTGCTTCAAGACCAGATAAAAGCATCTAAAATTTCAAATGCATGGAACCCACTACCGAGCATACACATTAAAGACGAAATGGGTATTGAAAATTGGAGATTCAAAGAAAGCTTTATTGTATTAGAAAAGAATCTGATTTACGCTAACTATGATGGCAATATCTATGGATATTGTTTAAAGAGCGCAAACTACGGCTTCATAGAAAAAATATACGAGTATTGATCGAAGAAACCCTAGTTTCAAACTCGGATTTAATTCCTTCTCCACTACTCTTCGACCCTGCTCCAAAGATAGACAACAAACCTTTTAGAGTTACCTTACATAATATAACTGTGTATACTTTTTGTCTCTAGCTCATTGTAGCAATGTATAATCCATACAGGTAAATTATGTATTTTTTGCCTATTTTGAAATTTGTAATTTGTAATTTTACCGAGTGATCCAAACTGATTTATGTCTAAATATTTTTATACGATTGCACTATGACATAAAGTTGTATGACTTAATTCAATTTAAAAAATGATCGAGAATAAAACCAGGGCTCTATTCTATTTGTCCGAATAACCCTAGATTCTACCGAAACCGAAACCTATAAGTCGACCCATAACTATACGCCACAACCAATACAAGATAATGGGAACAACACCTTACAAGTCATTCAGCCATTGACGAATATAAATAGCCAACTGCCGGGTAGCCCAATAAATTAGAATCTTTATTAAAAAAGAACTCTAGATTCACAAATAAATACCGCTGTTATATATTTTTTTCCCCTGCATTGTTCAGTGCAACAATCAACCATTCCCTTACCATTCACCCGAGCACAGTTACAGAGTTTGCAATATAAGAAGATCACTTTTCTAAATTTACAGATTACATATTTACGGATTAAAGATTTACAGATAGTGATCAATAATCAATTAAAATCAAAATTACAATGTTTCGGAATTGTAGAGAACACAACAAAATGCAAACCTATATAACTCAATACCTTTTAATAACAAGAATAAAGCTCAGCTTAAGTTGCATGATTATTGAAGCACTAATTCGAATTCGGCCAACAAATATGATTATTATACAATGTTCCGTTGAAAAAAAAAGTTTACGACCGAATACATGTGATTAAATCATGTACAGTTCTTGTTAGATATTTAGAGTGTTGATGGTTGCGCGCCCGCAAACCATGAAGTGCGCCCGCGCAGAGAGCGCGCCTAAACCACGTACCTCTCTGGAATTTGTCATTTTGGAAGGATGAGGTTGGCGCGGCCGCGCTTCAGGAGGTGCGCCCGCGCATCTTGGATGCGCGCCCGCGCTTGTGGTCGCGCCTAAACCGCGCCCCTCACTGCCTTCTTGTGGAAATTTCGCAAATTTGGTGAGGAACACCCGCTCCTATATGAGGAGAGCCCGCTCGACCTGGTGGCGCGCCCGCGCCTCATGGTGGAGCGTCCGCGCCTCCCTTTGCGGTTTTTTGACGGTTGAGTCTTTTATTAAAAGACTAATTTCGTGAAAAGAAATGTAAAGAAGTATTATTGTTTCCTCTCTGAAATTTACTTCTCTCTACACCATTATTGAAGAAACTTGCAATCTCTTCATTAATCCTCTATCATTTAAGTTAATTGATTGAGAATTTGATCATTTTTCTACACATTTAAGTGCTTAAAGTGTAGAGTTCGGCTATTGTATCTCAAAGCGTATTTCTAGCTCAACCCAAGCACCGTTGTGGGGGAAATTAACGCTTTAGGAAAGTGTTCTCACGCCTTAGACGAGTATCAAGTATCGAAGACTCACGTGGTCCATGGTATTCTCGTGTTCTTGGATGTTCATTTGGCTTGGAGTGAGGCAAGTATAGTTTTTCATACTTGTAGTTTAGTTTGATACTATGTAATTTTTGCTTTCTAAACTTGTTGGTGTTTGGTTGTTGGTGTAATTGATATTATATTACATTGTAATTTTATATTTCTCAAATTCTTAGGGTTAGAATTTGTTCTTTATAAGCTTACTATATAACAATCTAAAGCGTTAATTAGAACAACATGTCTAGTGTGAAAGAACTTACCATAAACTTTGTCAAACTCAAGAAGTTTGACGGTGTGGAGTTTCGACGATGGAAGAAGAAGATGTATTTTCTTCTTACATCGTTGAAGGTTGCCTATGTGATTAGCACTCCTAGGCCGGTAGAACATGAGAATGAGACCATGGAGGATGTTCGTGAGAAATCGAAATGGGATAATGATGACTTTATATGTCGGGGTCATATTCTCAATGGGATGGAGGATGATTTGTTTGATGTGTATCAACATGTTGATTCCGCTAAGGAGCTGTGGGAGTCTTTGGAGAGCAAATATATGGCGGAGGATGCTTCTAGCAAGAAATTCCTTGTAAGTAACTTTAATGATTTCAAGTTTTTTGATGGTAGATCAATTATGGATCAATTGCATGAGGTACAACGTATATATAGTAACTTGAAACAACATGGAATTAATGTTGATGAATTATTTGTTGTTTCGAGTATTATTGATAAGCTACCTTCTAGTTGGAAAGATGTAAAAAATGATTTGAAACACAAAAAAGAGGACATATCTTTGTCCGATTTGGCTACCCATCTTCAGATTGAAGAAGGGATTAGGGCCATGGAAAAGGCTAAGGATGGAAATCCTAGCTCTTCTACCATCAATATGGTGGAGGAAGGAAAATCTGGTGCTTCAACTAGTGGAAAGAGGAAGAATGTTAATTCTTCCTAGGGAAAGTCCAAGAAAAAGAAGGACAACAACAAGAATGCTTGTTGGGAGTGCGGTAAGACGGGACACCGCAAGAAGGATTGCTACATTTTCAAGAAGAAAATGGAGAAATCCAAGGAGGGTCAAGCTTCTAAGAGCAAGGACTCATCCACCAAAGGTAATCTTTTACATGAGGTTGAATTTAATTCCGGTATGGATTTAAATGCAACGGATCCTAACATTTTTATGGTACAGGATGATGACTCATGGTGGATGGATTAGGGGGCTTCAAGGCATGTATGCAAGGTGAAGCATTGGTTCAAAACCTTTCACAAGGTTGTTGATGGTGAAAAGCTCTATATGGGGAACAACTCTTCCATCATGGTCAAAGGAAGAGGACAAGTTGAGCTGATGTTTAGTTCGGGCAATAGTATCATTCTTAGGGATGTATTATATGCTTCGGATATTTCTAGAAATCTTGTATCAGGCCCTACCCTGAATAGAATTGGATATAAACTAGTATTTGAAGCAGATAGATGTATAATTACTAGAGGTAGCACTTTTATAGGACGTTGTTACTTAACTCATGGTTTGTTTAAACTCTCGTTAAGAGAGAAGTGTGTATTGTTGAATGATGTTTGTATGAATGTTGGTAATGACTGTGGAGTGAATTTGTTTTATTTATGGCATTCTAGATTGGGTCATGTTAATTACAATAAGTTGAATTTCATGTCTAAACTAGAGTTAATTCCTCCATGCGATATTTCTCTTGATAAATGTTCTACTTGCATGCTTAATAAGATCACTAGAACTCCTTTTAAGAATGTTGAGTGATGTTCTAAGATCTTAGAATTGGTTCATAGTGATTTGTGTGACTTTTATAGTACACCTTCTTTGGGAAATAAAAGATACATAATTACGTTTATTGATGATTTTTCAAGATTTTGCTTTGTGTATCTTTTATATTCCAAAGATGAAGCATTGGTTAAATTTGATATTTATAAGAAAGAGGTAGAAGTGCAACTAGAATCTTTAATTAAGAGATTGAGAACCGATAAGGGAGGGGAGTATTATGATCTTGTTTATTTCCAATCTTTGGGTATTATTCATGAGACTACAACTGGTTATGCACCACAATCAAATGGTGTAGCTGAAAGGAAGAATAGAACTCTTCAATAAATGGTTAATTCCATGCTATCTTACTCCGGTTTGAGTGAAGGGTTTTGGGGTGAAGCTATGTTGACGGCTTGTCACATACTTAACCGTGTTCCCACTGAGGGAAAAGATTCCACTCCTTATGAACTTTGGTACAAAAGGAAACCAAAATTGAAATATCTCAAGGTTTGGGGTTGTAGGGCAAATGTAAGAGTGCCCGGTAACAAAAAGAGAAAGCTCGGTGAAAGGGGCTTGGAATGCATTTTTATAGGTTATGCTGAGCATAGAAAAACCTATAGGTTCTATGTTATAGAACAAAGTGACTTTATTTCGAAACATTCAATTATTGAGTCAAGAGATGCAATTTTTGATAAAAACCGCTTTTCATCAATGAGTAGACCTAAGGATCTACAAGCAAGTACCAAAGGGAAGGAAATTGTTGATTATGATGATCAACTTGATTCTCATGTAGGTTCGTCTAATAATGAGGATGAGACTCCTCATGTTAGAAGAAGTAAAAGACAAAGGAAAATTAGGAATCCTCTAGATGACTTCATAATTTATTTGGTTGAAGGATCTAGGGATGTCCTTAGTTCTACTACTCCATGTTGTTTCAATGTGGATAGTGACCCAAAAACTTATGCGAGGCCATATCTTCCCAAGATAGTGCATTTTGGAAAGAAGCTATAAATGATGAGATGGACTCTATCATGGGAAATGACACTTGGGTCTTAGAGGATTTACCTCCCGGTTGCAAACCTCTTGGTTGCAAGTGGACTTTCACTAGGAAAAGGAGGCCTGATGGCTCCATAGTGAAATTTAAAGCCAGATTGGTTATCCAAGGCTTTAGGCAAAAGCATGGTGTCGATTATTTTGATACTTATGCACCGGTTGCAAGAATTACCTCCATAAGGTTATTGATTGCAATGACTTCGGTATATAATCTAGTGATTCATCAAATGGATGTCAAAACGACATTCCTTTATGGAGATCTAGAGGAAGAAGTGTACATGAAACAACCCGAAGGGTTTGTTTTGGAAGGACAAGAAAATAAGGTGTGTAAATTGGTTAAGTCACTATATGGACTTAAACAAGCACCAAAGCAGTGGCATCGGAAATTTGATGACACGATTTTGTCCTTTGGATTCAAAGTGAATCAAGCTGATAAGTGTATATATAGCAAATTTGATGACAAAGGTCATGGTGTCATAATTTGTCTATATGTTGATGATATGCTTATCTTTGGTACAAGTCTACAACAAGTAGAATTGACCAAGGAATTCTTAACCTCATCTTTTCAGATGAAGGATTTGGGGGAGGCGGATGTCATTTTGGGCATCAAGATTATTAGGGACAATGATAGACTTATTTTAAGTCAATCACATTATATTGAGAAAATGATCAAACAATTTAATATGTTTGATAAGAGTCCGGTGAATACCCCTATGGAACCTAATGTTAAATTGGTTAAGAATTCGGGGAAACCATTTCCCAATTGGAGTATTCAAGGATAATTGGATCCTTGATGTATTCCATGGCAAGTACAAGACCGGATATTGCATTGGTTGTGGGAAAACTTAGTAGATTTACTAGTAACCCGGGTGCACAGCATTGGTTTGCAGTTCGGAGGGTCTTGAGGTACCTTAAGGGTACATTGGACTATGGTTTGTCTTATAGTGGATTTCCTTCGGTTTTAGAAGGATATTCTGATGCAAGTTGGATCACTTACATAGAGGATGACTCTTTTGTAAGTGGTTGGGTGTTCATGTTTGGGGGGGGGGGTGCCATTTCATGGTCTTCCAAGAAACAAACTTGCATTGCCGATTCCACTATGGCAGCAGAGTTTTTTGCTCTTGCCTCAGCTAGTAAGGAAGCTGAATGGTTGAGAAATATCATGTTAGAGTTGCCTTTATTGCCTAAGCCAATGTCACCGGTGGCAATCCATTGTGATTCGAATTCGGCTTTGATAAAGGCATATAGTCAAGTGTATAATGGTAAGTCTCGGCATATTTCACTAAGGCATAGCCTAGTGAAAATGCTTATCAATGATGGGGTCATAAGTCTTGACTATGTTCCTACGAAAATGAATTTGGCGGATTGCTTTACTAAAGAAATGCCAAGACATTCCATCATATTTGCTTTGACTGGAATGGGTTTATGTCCTAAAGACACAAATTTGTGAAACCTAATCTAAAATGTGGTTGAATTACATTTTTGTTGTTTGATAGGAAAATTTGATGACCCAAATTGTTATGATACTTGTGATGTACTCGATAGCGTGTATTTAAAGTTCTCAAAGATTTAGAGTTGAGAAGCTCTAGATGATGGTGTCTTGTCACAAGGGCACTTTTACGTATATGAGAACCTACCTATATAAGTTCGAAGTTTAGCCGCTTCAAGAAGTCTAGTTGGACATATAGACTTTGATGAACTTATGAAAGATACGGACACATGGATGTAGAAAAGTGTCAAGTGATGTCAAATTCAAGTTATCTTGTGTGTATTTAACCTTCGAATGGTTAGAGATATCCGTGTGATTCAACCCATATGGAAATCATGGGATATGATCATCGTTAAGTGTGTTATACTAAGTGTCAATTCAATCCGTAGGGTCATTAACATTTAAGCATGAGATGAAACTTAATTGATAGAAGTAGAGAAGGTTTTAAAGGAACACTCTAAATGGGGGAGGATTGTTAGATATTTAGAGTGTTGATGGTTGCGCGCCCGCGAACCATTAAGTGCACCCGCGCAAGGTAGGCGCGGCCGCGCAGAGAGCGCGCCTAAACCGCGTACCTCTCTGGAATTTGTCATTTTGGAAGGATGAGGTTGGCGCGGCCGCGATTCTAGAGGTGCGGCCGCGAGTCCTGGATGCGCACCCGCGCTTGTGGTCGCGCCTAAACCGCGCCATTCACTGCCTTCTTGTGGAATTTCGCAAATTTGGTGAGGAGCGCCCGCTCCACCTGGTGGCGCGTCCGCGCCTCCCTGTTTTGCGGTTTTTTGAAGGTTGAGTCTTTTATTAAAAGGTTGATTTTGTGAAAAGAAATGTATAGAAGTATTATTGTTTCCTCTCTGAAATTTACTCCTCTCTACACCATTATTGAAGAAACTTGCAATCTCTTCATTAATCCTCTATCATTTAAGTTAATTGATTGAGAATTTGATCATTTTTCTACACATTTAAGTGCTTAAAGTGTAGAGTTCGGCTATTGTATCTCAAAGCGTATTTCTAGTTCAACCCAAGCACCGTTGTGGGGGAAATTAACGCTTTAGGAAAGTGTTCTCACGCCTTAGACGAGTATCAAGTATCGTAGACTCACGTGGTCCATGGTATTCTCGTGTTCTTGGATGTTCATTTGGCTTGGAGTGAGGCAAGTATAGTTTTTCATACTTGTAGTTTAGTTTGATACTCTGTAATTTTTGCTTTCTAAACTTGTTGGTGTTTGGTTGTTGGTGTAATAGATATTATATTACATTGTAATTTAATATTTCTCAAATTCTTAGGGTTATAATTTGTTCTTTATAAGCTTACTATATAACAGAATCAGCCGCCAAGGACGCGCCTCCCTCGGGCCAGGAACCGGCTCCTCATGCTTAAGCTTATTTTTATTTTTATTCCTATCTCCGGCCCGTGTGCCGTGTATCCTCTTGTAACTTAACAATATTCCTATTTCCCGGGTGTTCATTGATAAGTCTATTATATATATATATATATATATATTCCCCGTCCCAATGGTCATAATTGTGTTTTCGTAGATTTGGTATTGTTTTATAGGAAATTGCAGATTTGGAGCATTTTCCCGGATTTATTGGGCCGCTACGAGCATTGGAGTAGGGTTGCATTCATATGACCACATTCCGAAGCCCAG